GGGGGGGGGGGGGAACCATCAAAGGGTGTTCGCCCCCTCCCCCTCCTTTTTCTATTCTTTCTTTTTCTTCCGCATTTTATTCAAATTTACTTCAAATCTCTTCATCTTCATACCGCTTTATTCTTATACAATTAAAATATAATATTAAGTATAAATTATTATAATTAATATTCAAAATATAATTAAAAGTACTACAATATGAGGCAACAATGGTTAAATATATGTATTTTTTTCGAATATCACCACCCCACACTTAAACTCTCGTTCGTCCTCGAGTAAGCATTAAAACCACTATCAATAAATCAATCCTAGAATACCCCCACTTCGGTGATACTAACAATTAGGCCCTATAGCAACTCAAACCATCAGACATACACTTCTTGATCATCATGCAAGATATACAAGTCACAAACAAATAACAAACTTCTAACCTCCTAGCCTCAGATAGGGACTCTAACTCACCAAATTTAAGCTCGCTCACCTACTCTGTCAAATAAAACTAATAACATCACCTATCTATCATGAAACAAGAGCCCTCCCAAGAATAAATAGTTTATATACTCAAATCAAAGAATGAATATAATTTAAGGACTTAGCATCAAAGAACAACTCTCGCAATCACAAACGAATTCACATGCATGCACAAAGTACCATAAGCTTGCCCATTATGTACATCTCTACTAATTAAGTGTGCTTGAATAGAATCAAATAGGATTTTAATGGGTTGTAATATTATCTAGGGGACGTGTAGGAGAACTATATAACAGCGACTTACACTTCCCTAAGCACTTTGCACTTTTAGACTTCATCATCCATTATTTTTATCTCTTAATTTTATTTTCAACCCTCTCTTCGTCAATTGTTTTACAAGTATTCCCTTCATATCAAGACCGTTTCATTTTTTTTTCAAAGCAATTTTTTTTCTATGTCACATTCTTTTCAAGAGGGTCTTTTCATCATTTTTCAGCTATCATTGGTCACCATTTTCACTTAATCATCCATTTCTTCAAAATTATCAATTAATATTACAGTTTAAACAACAATGCTCAAGGAAGCAGGGTGCAAAAATTAGGGATTCAACAAAAGAACCAAGGCAAAAATATGACTTCCAAATAAAAGGCTACAGGCTCAAAGGGGTAACTAGTAGTACAATATCTGAAAAGGCTAAAATTCACAAAACATAACAAAAAAAACCTATTATCATCTTCTAAACAGAGCAACACTTTTATTTCGCTTCAATAACGTGTAGGGCAAGTTCTAGATTAAAATGTAAAATATAGAATATATGTAAGAAATCCTCACCCCACATGACACAAGTATCAATAAAAATGGATCAATTCTACTCTAAGACAGACATGGCCATAGCGAACGACAAAATAAGAATAAGTTATATACATAGTCACAACCCTGATCTTAGGTGTCAGAAAGTTTGTTATTTTATTCATTACTCAAGCACTCGGAGGAAAGTACTGCTCAAGCTTAGGCCTAAATATGCTAGTATCAAACACGTAACAAAAGATTTTCTTATCCCTCTTTTACTACTCCTAAGAAAAATCTAATAGTAAAAATAAAAAATTTACCCGATTCAAGTTTCATCCCCTAAAAAAGAACCAATGCACAAATAAAAATTAAGAGGGATTATTACCTAACAAAAATTAACTAGAACAAAAAGAAAATATTTTTAATTTTTTATTGGACCTTAATCCCTTAAGAAAGTTGTCCACAAAATTCATCATTAGGAAAAGTCCAAATTTTCTGATTTTTTAATTCTTTTTCTTCTTTTCTTTTTTTAATTTTTTTTTTACAAAAACCACTACACTAAGACAGTGTACTACAACTAAGCTAGGATAAAACATAAAATCACTCAGACAATCTCCTCACCCTACACTTAAAATTATGCAACGTCCTCAATGATTCCAATAAATAAATAGAGGGTAAAAGAGACTCCTTGATAGGCCAAATGTTGAAGTATTAGCAGCTCGTGGGATACTCAGACTTCTCCCAGGTATGATCCTTTGTGCGGTACCTCATACTTAGTTTCAACCACCTGCTCGATGTTTCATACGCCTACTGGCTTTGATTTCATGCTACTACTCCTACAAAACACAAAAACAACAATACAAAAGTAACACAATAATTAAAAAAATAAAAAGAAACAATTGAAGTGAGACGACTTACACCAACTTCACCACTTTTTCCTCCAAATTGAAGATAAAAATTGTATCCTCAACTTTGATTCAAGCTTGCGATTATGATTTTGGGGTGGTGCTATGAATACAAAAGAACCAAGTAAATAATGTTGCATCTTGCACTTCTTGGCCTTTAAGCGAGGGATGTCATTTTGTCTCCTTGGTGGGGCAAATTTTAGAATGAAAAGGTCTTGTTTTTTATGTATACATCTCTCCACAGGCATGATCTCCATGTATCTATCCAAACATAATGTAGAAAAATATTTAGAAATGAGGACCAACACGTCCCAACTCCAGAACTGCATTATTTTTTTTATATCCCCAATAATATATACTCCCCCAACCTCGGCATCATCAGCAAAAACATGATCTAATGATTGGTATTCTCGTTTTAGCTCATCAATTTGGCCTAGGAGATTTTTCTAGCTTCACACAACTCATTACTAAATTGTTGGGCGTTACACGCATCAACCATTGCACTCATATCTGCATCCAAGTTGCGCACAACCAAGCCAAACCTGCCAATTTATTGTGCAAGATCAACTCTCTTCTTAGAACAAACATTCACCAATGTATTTAGTAAACAATGTCGTTTCACATATTCTCTTAAACGATAATATTCGTCACAATACTAACCCTTACTCTCATATTCAAATTCAGACTTCCAAGAGGTCAGGTCATTACAAGCCCAAAAATACGGGCCATAAAAGTCTTCCGCCAACCAAGTTTATTCATCAATCATCTTTTCTTCATATATTTCATCCCCAGATGTCATGATCAGAAAACTAGAAACACACTAAGAGAAAATATCAAATAATTAGAAAATTAAAAATATTTACAAATGCAAAAAACTTGTAAAGATAAACGTAAAAGTCTAATCTACAAAAAAATCTAATTTCCAAGACCCCGACA